CCAACCTGTAGGTGCAGCTAAGATTGCCCTGTCACTGGCTTTATTGAGCTTCATGAGGTTCACACAGCCCCACATCTCAAGCCTGTCCAGATCCCTCTGGATGGCATCCCTTCCTTCCAGCGTGTTGACTGCACTACACAGTTTGGTGTCATCAGAAAACTTGCTGGGGGTGCACTGCCCATGTCATGGACAAGCATCCTGAACAGTATTGGCCTCACCACTGACCCCTGTGGGACACCACTTTTCAGTGGTCTCCAGGTGGACAGTAAGCTGTTGTCTGCATAGACTAATGGATAATAATAGACTAATATATTCTCTACCAAAATAAAAACTGTAACAAAACAAAAATAAATGTATTCCCTCAGTGACTGCTTAGTGGTGCTCTCACATTAAACCAGCAAGCAGATCAGGTCACAAAAGTTAGCTGATTCCACAGAAGATTTAAAAAATGGGAATAATTTATAATTTGTTCATATTTAAAATGTAACTTGGACATGAATGAGTCATCTTACACTGTTATTATCATTCTTGGCCAGAGTGACAGTGATGAAAAATTTTCCTGTCAGACCAAATATAGAAGAAGGTGGGGCATGTGTCTTCTAAACAAATAATTTTTAACAAAACTCCAAGTGGTCTTATTTTTGCTTCAAATTCAACGTATTCGTGGTCATTTCTTGCTCATAACATTGATTTTCATTCCACTTGGTGCCTACCTGCCCGAGTCAACTCATGTTAATGTCAGAGATGATATATAAAGAATAAAAACTGCATTTCAGCTGCTGACCTTCAAGAGGAAGGAATACAATATTAAGCCAGAAGATACCTGAACTGACCAGGTGAAACTGTCTTGTCCGTGCTTCATGGGTAGCCTTCTATTTTTATGTCTCTGAAGAGGCAGTGAACGAATTGGGGCAGGAGGGAACAGCAGGCGTTTATTTAGAAGGCAAATACAGCTATTATGTAGCTGATGGTCAGTGATCAGTGTGCGAGTATAAAAGACAGGGATGGCTGTGATGGGCTGTGTCAAACAGCACAGTGGCATGCCGATTGACCTGCCAGCCCAGTGGAGAAGCCAGTCCACACCACTAAAATTCATGAAGTGTTTCTTTCACTGATGCATGCTGGAGAGCTATTGTCGGTCAAGGCGTGGAGCAGCACCTGCCGTTCCCACAGGCTCCTATCAGTGGGTAAGGTGGCATTTGGGTTTATGTGGCTGATGACGAACTGAGTAGTCCTTTCACCAGCAGTTTCTCAGCAATCTTGCAAAGACAAAGAAATGTGTGCTCTCACAGCAGGATGCTCTCATTGTTGCACATTAAACATGAATTGACCTGGCTTCCTTCCATACGTGATTATCAAGCTTCTGTTCCTCAGTCGCCGGTTTTTGTAGCAGAATTGACACAATACAGTTTCTCTATGTAAATGTCACAACAATTCCCTTTTGTCTCTGCTTGTCTTTTTGCACCAACTTATGGAACAATATCCTGAAATTCCTCTACCTAGTTCCTCAATATGAGATGAAACCTGATACATTATAACATAAAAATGAAATTATATTTAATGCTAAAGGAGTGGAAACAACAGGAAACCAAGACAAACAATCTAGCAGCAATAAGCAACACACCTACCTTAAATAAACTCCCTTGCATTTTCTTTCCTTTTGGGACTGATTAACTTAGGAAATGTTAATTTCTTTAAAAATGGTAGTCCTGATTTCAAGAAATACACCAAAAACTGCTCTCACTGACTGCCAAAACAGAATTTAACCCACTGTTTTTCCACCTGTTTTTTTCATATTATCTAAAACTGAATTTAATCATATGTACCAGAGGAACAAAGTGTGAAATGGCATGATTTTCACAGTGGATGGGAAAACTCCATCTCTCTAATAGGAAGATGCTTTAGAGGAAGTAGATAAATCACTCTTGCAGTGGTCTTTCCAGAATAAAACAACAGGATTTTCAATCCCAGAATCAAATTACCCTGGTGACTGGACTCCCAACATTTCCATAAAAACTCACAGAGTCATCAAATTAAAACCAAAAACTGATTGCATATATGAAATTCAAGATGACCTGTTTCTCTGTGGTTATGTTTTTTTCAGACACTTGATGGTTAAAATCCTCAAATACAGAGTTTTGACAGCTTAAAAACCTGGTGTGTATAAAGACATCACTTTAAAACCTGACCAGTACTTTCAGAATTGGGTAATATAATTTTCCCCTTGAAGCTTAACATCCTTGAATTAAACTTATTTTCACAGAGTTTCAGAAGATTAGAATGCAAAAATCTGTATCCCAATTCTCCAGCTGAGATAAAGAGGCAATAAAGTTTCTCTTGGCCTGTAAGCATGTTATGATAGATAACTTCAAAGGTAAGCCTCATCTGATGTAAGAAAAGGTTTACCAAACTGGACATGTTTAAACAACAGTTATGGACTTTTAAGACTCCTACTGATGTCACAAGAAACATTTTTCAGTGGAACAAAAGGCTGCACTCAGTAAATGGTTGAGAAGGAAAGGTGTGACTCTAGTCTCACCTGTTGGAAAACCACTGTCACCACCTCATCACATGCTGAGACTCAAAATGTTACCATTGCACTGCTGGGCCTTCCAGAGTGTTTGACGAGTTTTCAGGAAAAAAAATCTCTAGAGTTGTCAGATTTCAAAATAGCACAGAACAGTTTTTAAATTATGAAAATGTATCACTGAGTAAGCTTACCTTCCTACGATGGGATGGCACAATAAAATATGTTTCAATATTATGCTTCTTCAAGAAACTATTCCTTTCATGACCATATCCTGGTTCTACCTCGTAGTCCCCATTTAGGCACTCTAAGGTGGTCTTTGTAATGTGAACTTTCCTGGGGAGAAAAATTAGACATTCTTGTTTAAAGCAAAGATACATTACGAGCTATTTGCTACTGAAGTACACTCCTGGACAGAAGTTCATAAAGAGGTCAATAGGTAAATTTGCATGCAAGACCACAGGTCTGATTTCAAAAGAAAAACAAAAAGGAAAAATAAAGTTTTGTTTTGTACTTTTAGCCAAATTGACATTTACATATTGACATATTACATGCATTTTCTGAACTTGGGCAAAGTGAACAGAAAGATAACTGCTACTGATCCAAACACTTGCAGATTTGCTGATTTGTAGAAAGTGAGCGTCTGCACATCATCTTCTACACGCTATGGCTTTTTTAAGTTTTTACCTCAACAGCTGCTTGGAAAAACCTCCTGCTGTTTGAAACTTATGACATCACACTCCAAACCTCTCTTGTGTATAAAGCAGCAACTTCTTTTTCTGTTTCATTTCACATCTCTTACTCATATCATCCATCCACTCTGTTTTGTAGGCAGCTTTCTGATTCACTGTGTTTTGGCAACACACCCATCTTTAAAATTATTTCTGAGTTTTCTTATCCTGAAAATTTTTCACATTTTCTCCTGAAAGACTCCTTATATTTGAAATATATTTCAGAGAAAGTATCTGAAAAGATTTTGCAGTTTTCCTCTAATAAACATGTGTTCAGATTTTTTCCCACTGGGTAACTTTAAAATAATGAACACATAAAATACACTGCCAAAATTATCTAAAGCAGATGTATGCAATAAATAGAAATTCACTCATCATTACCACAAAAAAATTAGTTGGTTCCTTTGTCCTTCTGTACAGCAATCAAGATCTCATAAAAATCAAAAAAGTGGATGGCAGGTCCCAGTCCAAATGTGAGCTACACACAGAACACCCATTCACCTTTGCAAATGTTCATTGTGTGTATTTAAATTGTGTCCAAGGCTGTGCAATGAGTATTTAGAGTTCCAGAACATGCACCATGGGCTGGCTGGGGGTTTATGTGCTACTGTACCATTTGCAAATGTCATCAATATCCGAGTTCATAAACAGGTATATCTTTTCTGTAGCATATGACTAGTGTTGGAAACCTTGTCATGTAAAAGGAGCAAGGAATTCCCTCTCTCTTCTCAAAGTATAGAGGTGTGTAAAGGTAAAAAATTCCTGGAGTAGCTACAGGGTTTTACTTTTGTAACATGAAATTATCAAAGTCTAGCATTCTTACATTCCTAGTATTGTCTCATTACTACTTTTTATATTTGGTAACTTCTAAAAATAATTTTGTTTGAAAACGTTTTGCCTCTAATCTAACCTATTACTTCCAAAAATATCAAGATAATTTAAAAAATTCCACAGGATAAATCACATAATACATTGATTGCTCTTGCCACACGCAGTCCTTTTCATCAATAGCAATTACATTGCAAATACCTCAAAAAAGGAAATAAATTCTTCACCCACACAGTTTTCTATTTTTTTTTTGCTACGGTTCTTTTTCAGACTTACCCAGGCAGTCCTCCAGCTTCCATTACATTAGCTAATGTCACATCATTTGACCAGACATCATATTGCCATTTTCGGAGACCCAGGACCCCACAAAGCACCCTGCCTGTGTGCAATCCAACTCTCATGTTAAGATCAACCTCTGTGGCTTCTGCAACAGATCTGTAATGGACAGCATCAGAATATTAATATTTAGATGATGACTGCTCTTCATTTTTTCTCCTCCCAAAATTAACAAATATACTTGACTGAGTAAAAGGGGTCTTATAAAACCTGAAATGGTATATTCGGGCACTGTTTTTTACCTTCACTAGTTTCAAAGCCCTAATTGTAATTCCAAAAAAATAATTTTCTTAGTTATATTTTAATTACTGTTGAACCAAAATCTCGGAATTTCTAAATTTCTTGACCATTTCTGTGAGAAAAGAGGTACAAGAAGAACTAGTTGAGATGACCAATGTGTAAGTAATTATTCCCAATCTACCATATTTTAATTGGTTCAATTACCCAGACGCCAGAGTACAGGACAAAGAAAATGATGAAAGTAGTAAATCATTATAAGAACAGTAGAGTGATTATAAACACTTACATCTTTCCAAAGCTCCTGTAAGAGTGGCACCAAAACAACTTGTAACTAGTGTTGTAAATTAAATCTAATAAATTAATGTTTCGAGATTTTCACTGCCTATCTGGTAAAGGATTAATTAATCCACAGAATTGCTATTAAAAGAATGTTTTTTGGTGCCACAATAAGAAAAGAGTCTTCATTTCTCTGAATGAAAGGCATGCTAGGACTTGCACTCTGCACAAAGTTGTGAACACTGAAAAGGTACCTTGAAACTAACAGCCTTAAATATTACATTTTATGGAAGAACACTGTACATAGATATTTTCAGCTCTTTCTGTTAGAGAAACACCTGTCATTCCATAGTCCAGTTGCTATCCAAAAAGTGATATTATCTCTGAATAGAGGAAACTGACTATTCAGTGTAAGAATTGATTTTCACTTGATTTTCCTAATTTGAATTTTCCAATGCATTTAATAGAAGACCTTAAAATGAGACTCTAGCTAAAATTTTCCCTTGACATTCATTGACCAATTTTTTGTTCAACTATCATCCCATTTTTTGTTTTTGTTTTTNTTTTTTTTTTTTTTTTTTTTTTTTTTTTTTTTTATTTTGCAGAGATGCCTTTAGAAAGACTTTTCAACTGTTTCAGAAGCTTCACTTGTTTAAATACAATTAACAGAAAGGTCAGCATAGATCAAGATATGGGATGTGCAGCAAGGATACCTGGCCTCAATTTAAATATGAAACTCTTCACCTTTGAAGTGCTGAAATACATGCTATGTCAGCCATCACTAATGTGACTAACATGGAGATCTCTTTTGTCCCCATAGGGAATCTGGGCATAACACATTTTTCAGTCATACTTTATGCAACAGCACAGAAAGGCTTGTGCACATCTTTCTGAAAGATTAATAATTTCCTTGTCCTATTCCTACTCACTGCAAGTCAGCTCTCCCTTACTCAGTATCTGTTCCCAGTCAAGCCTCAAATATGACTTCAAGGAGCCCTAAAAGGATTCCAGTGTTACAAAACTTTGTTCTGCACAGTTTCACAAAGCTTTGAGGAAATGAAAGACCCTAATGACATAAGTCACGTAATGATAAGAATTGTATCTTCACCTTTGTATCTTCACCTGTGCAGGTGTATTGTATCATTAACAGATTACACCAAGAAAATACCTTGCAAGCCAAAGCCCTTCAGGATTACACCTTGCCTGCCTATCTTCTCCTGCATAATTGAGAACCTATGCAATAATCTTAATTAATGAACCCACAAAAGTTTGAGTTTCTCTGTTCACAAATAAGTGTGGGCTTTTTTTGTTGGTTCCCTCCCTCCTCCTCCATTTAAAAATGTATATAAAACCTCAGACTAAATGTATGTGGAAAGGTAGTGAAATTCAGACACTGATAAAGTCCACTCAAGGCTTCAACATTGCTTTGTCTGACTGGGGTAAGTTTAATCACCTTTTAGAAATTTTAACAGAATAACAAAAATAAATGAAAAAATATGAGCAGAAAAATACAACATGGCTGACCACACTCCTTGTTAAACAAGCTGTACTGTATAATGCACCAATAAAACACAATCTGGAAATACTTCATGTTTTGAACAAAAAAAAAATTCCATAAGTAGTCATTCATAAATCAAAATTGATAATGCATTTCTACATCTTCCCCAGAAGCTACAATATGTTTCAGAAATGCTTTCATTATTAAATTTGAGTAGGAAAAAAGAGTTCATGAACAGTTCATTACATTTTTTTATTTCATTTTGTAGATCTTTGTGCTCTTTATGCAGATAATTTCCATAACTATACCCCACTGAATTATTAAAAATGAGGAATATTAGAAAATATATAAAGAAGAGACCAAATTTAAATTCAGAGCAGTACAATGATCATGTTCCCAGACAACATCAAATTTCTACAATAAAATACCACAAAAATTTCCACTGAGGTATTTTAAATTATAGATACATTTCTAAGAAAATATCAGCATTTCACAAACAAGCCAGGAATAGGAAAAAGGAGTTTCACAAATAAATTATTCATTATTACTTATTCTCTCATAACTTCCTATACTAAAGTTTTCCAAATGTTAACACAAAAGTAGGTCCAGAAACAAATGGAAATCAAAAACCATTTTCTTTTTGAACCAGTTGTGTTTATAGTCTATGCAACTGACTAATAAGAAAAGCATCTACCCTGACAGCTTGAGTATCCTACAAAGCTTTTAAATTCTAGTTCCCTCCTTAACGACAAATATTTTATGTGCTGCTACAAGCCATGAAAGTTATTTAGATCATCTGCAGAACAGCTCCAGACCTGTGTTCCTGAGCATTCAAGGAGGGAAACAAAAAAGCTCTGCATGCCATTTCTTATAATTATTTAAGTCTTTTCTTTAGGTCTAAAGATACCTGCAGAAATGAATGTTTCCTGTTTCACCAATGGTAGACAGCTTCTTAAAAATGCAGCTGCTTGTTCTCTAGAAACTTGGTCAATTGACTCCTGCCAGTCCAAACATTTCCAGGCCCTGGACTTTTGGATGACCAGGGAAAAGATTCAAGAGTGTTGACATAAGGGAAGTTAATGCTTCTGTCTGTTTCCTCAGAAAAAATCACACACGAAAACTTGATTTCCACTGGACTTATGCAAACTGGCTGCTGTAGTTCCTCTCCCTCTCCCAGTGCTTTTGGTCAGCCAATGACCAAACCCATCGAAAGGAGACAGTTCAAGCATCAACCTCCCCAGTGCAAAAGCCTCCCCAGGTGCAAATAAGCCCAGCTTCCACCTGTGGGGTTTTACAGGATGACTGGTGGAGTCATTCACATTAGGTAGAGTCATCCATTTGGGATCAAATCACCTACATGTCACAGAAAATAGCTGATAAACCCCACTGGGTTGCCCAGTTCTCAAGAAGTGAGGGTTCATGGACAGTTTGCTTCAGACCACTTCAAAGCCCACATCCAGCAATCACATTCAGTCAGAAGGTCAGATGAGACTTATTCTAAAATAACCCTTCTCCCTTCTCCTCCTCACCATAGTGCATGTAGGTTGAACTAAATCAGTCAGCAGCAGTTGCTGTGATCCACAGATCATGTGCTCCTACTGTGCCATGCTCCCAGCTTCATACCACACACGCTCCATGCTCCATACTACACTCAGTCAGTGATGCAGCCAGCCATGCAATTCCCTCTGAGTCAGTACTAAAATGGCATCCTAATAAGGTGTTAATGGAAGAAGCATCATGAAAATGTACTGTCTGTGTGGCAACAGGAATGATTACGGGTTCCATTACAGTTTTGACAAGTTTATGAATATTAACCTGAGTATTTTGACCCAGTCCAAAATCTAGTATTTATAGACCGCTCACTCAGAATCTCTCCTTATTTCCAATTGGAAACAGATTATTTCTTGCTCTGCAATGTTATTGAATGCAGTTAAATGAGTGTGTCATTTCACCACATTTCATCTCCTAAGAGGAGCTGCTGGACTGAGCCAAAGAATTGTTTAATAAAATGTATATCCACTGATGAAGTGCTGTCTAAGGAAAGACAAAACTAGTAAGAATGTATAAAATTTCCCCCATAATACTAGCTTAAAACAGAACTCTAGACAGCTTTTGGAGGAGACGGAGGGAAGAGCTTTGTTACCTGGGCATAACTTTTCTACATGGCAATTAGCTAACAAATATATCTATTTAGAAGGTAAAAAACTGCAGTGTATGAGACTGTAACTTTCAAATGTGGCAATCAATTTAAGTAAGGTGAAGGGAGTACTTGGCCTAATACAGCTTTCATAACCAAGGTTAGGACATCTGCCATGTTGGAGAAATACATGACATATTAGAGGCACTAACAAATATGATAATTTTAATTTTCTTACTAACAAAACCTTGGCAGTCAAAACTCATATGGTAAGAGCAATATTGGTGGTACTGAACACTCATTGATGTGGTGCTTTAAGTAACTCTAGAGTAGAACAAGCACCTGGTCTGCACTGAGGCACTGACACAATGGCTGCAGAAATTCTTTTGGAATAGAAGCAGAATATAACACTATCTATTTTGTCAGTTTTTAAGAATAAAAAGCTTCTCCCACAATTATTTTGGTTCCCTTGAAGAAAACACTTTGAGGAAGGTGAATGAAATTGTGAAAATTATAATTATTTTATAATACTTTGAAAATTATGTTCTCAGATGATACATTCAGCACCACCTTGTAGGATACTTAAATAACAGTTACACAGAATATGAAGAGAATGGAATATATCACTTTATGTGAACACATTCAACACAGTCCAATCACAGAACCATCAATCGGCCATGGAAATTTCTATTCCTTGATTTTCCAGAAAAAACCCACGTCTTGTTAGTAAGTATCTCTGGGATGGATACTTTTGACAGATGCATCACATGAATCACAAGTGATTTTATTTATTTATTTATTTATTTATTTATTTATTTATTCATTCCAGGTAATATGACAAATCTATCACTAGGATGACCAATTCCAAGCATAAATTTACAGTGCCAAGACCTGAAGTCTACGGTAAAGTGAATAGACTTTGAAAAGACTACTAGCTGGCATCTACCTCTGCATGAAAGGGGAAAGTTTAAAAAAAGTGACTTTTTATTTCATGGAACTGACAAACGAAGCCTAATTATCATACCAATACAATATAAAATGTTGCATTCCAACTTCACTGTCACAAGCTCCTGAGTTCTCATTTACTAATCATATTTTAAAATAAATTAGTCTGGGGAATCTATCTTCTAACTCTGGTTTCTGTGAGGGAGAGAGACTAATTGTGCTTATGCACAAAAAATGCAGAATAGGTCCCTAGCTATTGAACAATCCTAAGTAAATCTGGCACTGTCTTAGAACCTTGCCTCTTACCCATCTTGCTCTCTCACCATGCTCTGACCACTAACACAAAAGACCTAAAATCTATGAATTCTTTAAAAAATAAAGTCCTGAAATGGCCAGTTACCTTCTACCACAACATCTGACTAAACATATCTAGATAAGACACTACAGCTCATCCACTTAAAATTGCAAACTTGCTGATGCTGCAAGGGACCTCTGGAAATCATCTAGACCAATATACTTGCTCAGAGAACAGCCAGCTACAGAAGTTTGCCCAGAACTGTGCCCAGCTGAGTTTAAATTTCTCCAAGGACACAAATGTCACAACTTTTCAGTGGAACCTCTCAAGTATCTGACTACCTCCACAATAAAAAAAAAGGTTTTCTTCTATTGAGATTGAATTTCCTGTATTTCAGTTTGTGCCCATTTCCTCTCCCATTTCCAGTGCAGGCACTGAATGTCACTGAGAAAAGTTTGGTTTTGTCCTCTCTACTCCCTCTCACTAGGTATTTGTCTGCATTGATAAGAGTCCCTCTGAGCCTTCTCTTCTGCAGGCTGAACAGTCCTAGTTCATTCTTTTCTAATTCAACTCCTTTTTTTTAAGTTTACATTATCATGTCAGTAGACAATAAAATATACCCTAAAAAGGGAATATATTAATTTCTAATAGTAAAACTGGAACATTCAGAAGAGGAAAGTTCCAACTGCTATATCAATACCTTATTTGTATACATGAAATACAGCACAACTAATGAATTAAAGATTAATACTAGGTTTAAAAGAGGATAAGAGTGTCATCTATTGCTTTCCAGGGATTTGAAAAAATCCCGAACTAAAAGGCTTTTGAAAAATTTGTACAAGACCTGTACATCTAATTATCTTTCTAAAAGTCAGGGCTTCCTTATAAATGGAGTATCCATATACTGCTGAAAGAATGCACATATTATTTTAGGATTTTATATTTTCTATTTATACAGACTATCATAAATGATAGATTAAGATATTACAAAGTATTTTATGAATTGTACAATGCTTACAAACGTGATGAACTTGCATTGAATAAGGGAGAAAATTACGTAATTTGCCCAACTCTTCACAGTATGAGAGATTTTTTAGTATCTTTAGCAAATGAAAATGAGAAGTAGAGAATAAATTTTCCATCTTTATCCTTTCCCACCTACATAATGAAATAGATCTCCAGCTTTAGCTAAAAGCTCATTCACAGTTCTCTCACATCCATATTTTTTGCCTTGGCAAAATAATGATCAATGTAGACCTCTCAAGCATAAACAAAAATCCGAGCAGCAAAATAAATTTCACGTTAGATTTCTGAAAACCAGAATAAACGAAAGGTTTAAACATTACATTAAAAAGGAATAATCAGATTTTGAGACGACAAACACCTATACAACAGGCATACATCAGGACTGGATTTGAGTGAGTAGTGCTAGCAGACTAAGAGCACATAAGTATTCCAGCATTTCTTTCCTAGGAGCACATTTCCTGAACACCACATGGGAGCTGTTGCAGCCCTCCTGTCTGGGCTCACCATGCATGGTACTTACGTGATGGTGTCAATCATATCCAGTCCCATTTCAACACAGCAATGGGCATGATCTGTCTTGGGCTGGGTCAATCCTGATACACAGTAGTAACAATCCCCTAGGATTTTTATTCTTCTGCAATGATTTTCCTTTCATAAAAACAGAATGGGAAAAGTTTTACTATTTATATAAATATTTCAATATTAACAGGGTAAAAATCTTCTCTAATACTATGCAATAATTCAGGTGATCTTTCCATGATCAAATGAGGTAATTTACAGTTTGTGAAATCTGGGTTCCCTGTACACACACACATTTGTTTATTTATTTATAAATGGATACGTATATACTGGACATCAGCCCTGCATTGTTCAAAACACGTGGGTTAACATTACTTAAAGATATAGTTGTAGAACAAATGTTATTGCCTTGCCCTCATGCTAGATTACCATAAACTCAAGATTTACAATGAGACTTAATTTCTATATGAATCCAAACCAAAAGACTGAGGCCAACCACTGCTGAATATTAGGAAACGTTTGCATTCTGAGAAACTTCCGTTTCGAATTCAGTTCCAATTCACCAGGAAAGATTATTTATTTATGTGCAAAGGTACATGCATTTTTGCATTACCTATTCATAAACCACAGTTTGCAATACAGCATGATCAGTATGACAGACTTACAGATGAGAAGCTAGTCATTTTGCATTACAAACAAATTTATCTCCTGTTTGCATTAAATTTGATTTCTACAGCCAAATAGGTCTGACTAAAACTCTCCCATTTAAAAAAATACAAAAAATGATGGCATGTGATAATTGCACATCTGTCTGAGCAGAAAGTTCATTCCTAAACAGAGAGCACATAACAAAATGCCTTTAAAAGACCAATACCTTTAACTAATAAACTATGAGGAGGCATGAAGAGATGATGGTATCTTTTGTAACCATGCTATGGCAACTTCTACCTACTTAGAGTTTGGCACAGAAAAGCAAATAACCTGATTAAATGAATCCAACTTACAAAACTGGGATTATTCCAGCAAACACTATGAAAAATTAGCTGTTGTGAATATGATGGGAGGGGATTTACAGAAGTCTGATTCTTTTCCCAGCAGTGTGCCATATAGACTTGACTTCAGCAACACAGAAAGGGGAAAGAAAAGAGAGGGCAGTGATGGTGAAATTTAAAATTTCTGAAAAAAACCACCCCTAATCATAGAATCATACTCGTCCAGTTTCTCATGCAGGAATATATTTTCATCCAGTGTTCTGCCTACAAGAATTAAAGCCTTCCTGACCACATTCTCCACGTCCTTACCCATATTCCAGCTCAGAAGCAATGATTATGCCCCCAGTGATCCTTTTCTCTCAGACATGTCACCATGTATACCAGCATTTGGGACTTGTTGCTACACACACTTCCTGCGGCAGGCATTCCCATGCCTCATTTCTTTGTAAATGGAACTCAGTAATGAGCAAGTACTATAAAACAAGAACTGCCTCTCTTCATGCATGGAAGAAGGCACTGTTTGGAAAAGTTGGCTTGTCTACTTCTTTTAATAAATTAAGCAGCAAATTCAGATCTCACATCAAAGAAGAGAGCTGTCTCTTTGGGTGTGCTTAAGTAATAGAAAAAACTTCCAGTTGTGACTACTTAACATTTGTACATTTGTTCTTCTGTACAGCAGGATTTAAAATATACCTCTAATTATCATTGTTAATATATATTTGAATGAATACAAGCATAATTCTTTTAGGATGACTATCACCAGGGCCCTAACACTATTTCTGCAGCCTATAGCCAAAACTGCCTCACCAATTTTACTCAGACTTTTTAAAAATCCTTTGCTAAATGGTATTATATAAGCAAAATAATTATTGATGCACACAAAGTAATATGCAGATCTCAAAATCTACGTTGACACAGAACAGTCCTTTTAATTCAAGGTTTTTGGGCACTAATCACTACATTTTTTAATGGAAAACACAAAGTTTTTTCACTAGATACCACTAGATTATACTATCAAAAAAAGGCTTCCCCCTCAACCCAGATCTTGAAGTGCTAGAGTGTACCCAGTAGTTAAAGCTGAAGCCTGCTTTCTAAAATAAATTCCATTTTGGCCTGTACTTCAAAATCTTCTATATATCTTTATATCTATATATATTTTAATCTTCAAATTTGGTATGCATGATTTGTGGCCAGGAAATGCCTATTTGACCCTTAGGAAAACTATTCAGAAAAGCCATTTGAGTAACTTGGGGTGAACAACACATAAATGTTAATCAATCAGGGATTTCTCCTATTATTGTCTACTTCACAAACGACTCATTTCTAATGACTTGGTAACAGCCTGGTAGATAATTAAAGGAACAAACAAAAAAAAACCTAAGAAAACAGAGTTTCCTCCATTACCACTTTTCTGAGTCAATTTCTTATTTGTGCAGTACAAAATTAAAAGAAGAAGAAAATAAATGCAATAGTACTTGCTGGAGAAATATTTATCTTGATGGAAGACAAATGGCTAAATCACCTGCTGGTTTTGAAATCACTAGCCTGTTTGTTCCTTATCAGATATAATCCTCACTATCCTGATTTATCAATTAATATACTGTAATCTCTAGAAAAATTGCTTGTTTTCTTTTTCTTGATATGTGAGGTAGACTTCCAGGAAAGAGCCACAGTGCAACTTTGAAAAAGCCATCTTTTTAAGGACTGTTATGGAAATTAACAAAACAACCCCATTCTCTGTCTTTGTTTTATTTCCTCAGCAACTTCTAAAAAATCCTTCTCTCATCAATATTTTTCACATTTGTTATGCTGATGAATTCATGTGTCTTAGTTACAAATTCCAGTCACAACTGATACAAGCAGTGTCTGTTTAGAAACAACAGATAATTTGGTTTTATGCACATGATAAAAAGCACTAGAGATTGCCAGCACTGCATTAGCCAGGCAGCTTGCCCACCTGTGGTGCCTTACTGAGACATTTCCAAGTGGATCTGCAGAAATCCCTCTGGCACAACTGTCAGTCACAGGGTCAGTCAGTGTGTAGTGGAAGTCCAACCCAGAAAGCAGAGGACATTTCAAAGTTACTAAGAGCTTTCTTCACACTTTCAGGAAAGTAAAGCAGTTTATTCTATCTGTCTGTTATGTAAAACTAGGAGGGGGAGGCCTTTGTTTCAAACAACTCTGAGGTTTTGTTGTTGTTGCAGTCCTTTATTTAATGCATTTTTGCATAAGAGTGAAGTCTGTCAACTCAGACTGAAAAACTGAAAATTCAGAACATTAACTTCACATTCTTGTACCAGATAAGACAAATGTTTGATATACCTAAGATAAGGTTATTTTTTAATAAAAAGGAAAAAGATTTTACACTTTGTAAAAAAAGCTTATACATAAATATACATACACTTATATATGTTGCCTCAAAGAAATAATAAAGAAGGTGTCAGATTTCTCCCAGCAAAACCCATAAGAAGGACAGTCAGATGTTCTCTAGAACAGAGAGATCATACTGAATAAGTGCAAAGTCTTTTAAAGGAGGATCTTTCCCATATGTCATATTGCAACAGTCCTTATTATCACTGCTGGAACTTTGTTTTTATTAATAAGCTATCCAAGTAAGTAATTGTTATGTGAATAGATCCAAAATCAGGATCAATTTTTTTTGCTTGCAACTCTGTCTGGTAGCAGAAGAGTTTCTTTAAAGCTTTTATGTATTTTGGAGATGGCAAATGTTAATGCCAGAATGAGGCCCTGGACTTCCTTCTGTCATTACAACAATCTATGTATTTTTACATAGTCCTGTGTCATTGTGGTATGTGGTATCTATAAAAGTGAGTCAAAAAGGAAGGTCAGATAAAACCACAAGGTTTTAAAACTGTAAACATTGAACTCTGTCTTGTAACTCCATTGACTGCAGTGGAATTGTGTCAAGACTGAGTCTGACCCCGTGTAAATTAATTGCAATATATTTTATGCTTATTTTATTAATCAATTTATTTGTATGCAAGTCTGAAAGCAATCTGCAGGTGTGCTTTTCAGACTTTTATTGTTCTAATCTCCTGGAATCACAGTCTATGAGTAGGCAGGACTTTATTTATCCATATATTAGAAAGATTTTTTTATAATTTCTAATAAAAGCTGCATCATCTAAGGTTTAAAAAGTTTCTTTACCATATTCAGCCAATGCGGATTTGGCCATGCTTTGCAGAGTAAGGGAAAGGATTAATAAGGCCTACAAAAAGATGCATAAATAGTGTTTCCCATTTCCCCCAACTCAGACCCTACTAGACTTGGACTCCCTCATAATGCTATGGACTTTAGAAATAGGAACATTTTGTTTTGCTTAGCCTACATAAATGGCAACAGGAGTTTGTTCACTACCTACAATGCTTAGTGATTGCAAAGTTAAAGTCTTAAAGAAAAGATAATAGAAAATCAAAGCTCATATATGTTCAGGTTCAGCTGTTTAAATGTTGGGGCCAAAGAGAAGAGATTTATTAGACCTGGACTTACAGAAGGTTTTATGGTTTCAGGGCAAGGCTTTGACATCCTTGCTATATGTCAGACTTCAGCTATGGGAGATCTCTGGATACTCAGTGGGCATAGCTGCAAAATATTACAGGAGCAGCCTTACACACAGTGAAAGAGTGGAAAGAGAGGGATGCACAGGAAGCACAGGAAACAGTTCTGGAGCTCAAAACCCCTGCATGCCTCTGTGGGGTGAAAAGAACTGCCCTACTCCCTGAAAAAAATTTTACTAGCTCAATATTTTCTTCACATATTGAAGAGAAGTCATGGATAGAGGGAAACCGCTAAATGCAATTTTCTGATGGCTCAGATTTCACTGAAGTAGAATTAACTCTGGGGCGAAATGGTGAACTAAGAGGGCTGAAGAAGAAACAGATGAACTTTTAGCTCTGCTGTCAAGAACTTCATCATTGCGGCCAGGCAGTGCCAGAGGGCCATGGTCATCTTCCCTTACAGATGTTCAATGGGACAAAAGAAATATCAGTGTCCCTCAGGAAAGGAACCTTCATGGAAGTATTTGTGGGGTTTTCTCCCTTCATATTTTCTTCTCTATTTCTTTCTTCTTGGATTATCTGTCACTTTCATTTGGAAAGCCCCAATCCAACAGCTTCC